TCCTTCCTTCCTTCCTTCCTTCCTTCCTTCCTTCCTTCCTTCCTTCCTTCCTTCCTTCCTTCCTTCCTTTTTACTTGTTTACAGAGTTTATAAGCCACTCCAATGAATGATATACAAATGCCCCAAGTCTGTAATTTGGGTTAAAATAAATGCATCATGAATTAAAACCAAGATCATGCATTATAAAACAACCACATACCTCTTGAGTCAAACATTCTGGTAACACAATTATAAAGAATTATTATTATTCCTAAAAATTGGACATGCTACAACAAAGACGGAACATATTATCATATGTGGTGGTTATTCAAAAGTATTGGAAAGAAATACATCAAAACCAAAAAATTCTGAAAATAAAATTTGATTTAAAACCACAAATATTTTTACTAGATATGATCCCAGAGGATATAAATAAAAAACAATACAAGTTTGGAGAATATGTGGCAGTGGTAAAATTGACTGTATATATTTAGTACAAGTCTAACCAACTTCAAGCAGGAATGGTTCCCTTATATACAACACATTAAACAGCAAGACAAGCTTAGACACTTAGAATGTGTTTTTTGAAGAAAAAGAGAAACTCCTTAAAAAATAATTAGAATGATCCAAATAGAAATGAGCTGTAATCACAGATGTCCAAAGCATAGTATAAAAGTATTTAAGTATCAATTAGCAATGGGGGTCGTGGGAGAAGGGGAGGAGAGTCTATTAGAATGCTTTTTTCTATTATTTTCCCCCTTTTTTGTTTTTCCTTTTTAATTTTTTTAATCAAATTTTCACTTCCACCTTTATTCTAGTGTAATGTTTATTTTATATATGTATATGTATTCCTTTCTCTTTTCTTTGTTTTTGCATTTTTTGCTTTTTATTTAATTAATAAAAACACAAAACCAGAAAAAAATTATCCTTCCAGAGTCATAGTAACCCATTCCCAAAGTTGGGTGAAATAGCCAAGTCTTTACACATTTTCTGAAGATCAGGCAGAAGGGGGCCATCTGAATGCCTTGAATGGATTACTATTCCAGAGGAGGGACACAGTGACTGATAAGGCATGTGTCCATGGCCCTGAAGGTGGCAATCTCTGATGGAGGGAACGTATAACAAGCCTGCTCTTATCAGGTAGGCGTATGTTATTGGAAGAGGGCAGTTCCATAGATACTAAGAGCAATATATAACCTTGAGTGCATTTGTCTTCATGGAGCCTTTCCTTTCTGCTATTTCTCCCATCCAGCCATTTCCAGCATGCCCCAAATTTAGTCTAGCAGTTCTCGCAACTCTCCAAAATAGTTTTTAAGGATGCTTGATAGATGGACTGCAGGGTAGAAGGAGAATCTGTCCTGCTAAAGTTGTACACTCTGCTGGCAGACAGACATGGTTGGATTTTATTGTTCTCACCAAGCATTGTCTTCAGTCCTTTAACTTTACAGTAGATAAGAACTATTTGCCAATTCTGGAGAATACAATGTTTGAAGCTTAGAGATTTCAGGCTTTTCTGGTGACCTACAATTTCAAGTTGTTCAGCAGTTAAAAGATTTGAAATTTAAAAATAAAATCTTTGAGGCAACATTTGACAAGTAAACTCAAATAATCTTCAGGCTTAGAAGTTGTAGGTAGTGTAAAACGCTGAAAGGAACATCTTACTGTGAACATGTTAGACCTGTTCCAAAGGCAGTGCACTGGCTGCTGGTTTACTACCCAAATAGGTTCAAGATACTTGTAATGACATACAGAGGTCTTTTTAACTTAAGTCATGGCTCTCTAGCAAAGTACTTGCTCCCTGATGCTTCTGGTTGTCATTTAAGATCTAGTGGGAATGTCTTCCTCAGGATGCCACATCTGCCAGGAATTCGATATGACAAGCCAAGAGAGAACATTCTCAATGCAAGTACTCTTTTAGTGCCTTGGTTGGCATGAAGCATTGCAAGTTTTCAGCTCCACCTTAAATTAAATTTTCTTGAAGTTATACCCTACCTTTCTATTTGTATAATACAATTATATGACTATTTAAAAGTACAAAGTTTAAAACATAACTCTTTTATATCCATATAAATCCATATCCAGTATCCATAAAATAATGAACAATTAAAACCTTGACAATACAGATATATTTTTGCCGTTTTCCTAAATATTGGGAGCCACATGCACTTCCTTGGGAAGCACATTCCATAGTCTGTGAGCTATACAGGGGAAGGCCCTTGCCCACATACCCAGTAGCCAAGTAACTGGCAGTTGATGTTTTTTTCCCAAAGGGCCTTTCCCGCTGAGCTAAGTAACTCGGCAGGTTCATAGTAGGAAAGGAAATTCCTCAGAGAATTAGGCCTTAAGCTATTCAGAGGTTTAAAGGTCAACTCCAACACTTTGAATAGTGTCTAATAGGTAACTGGCAGCTAGTACAGATGCTTCAGTACAGATGTTTTGTGATTCCTGTACCCTGTATTTCCAGACACATACATCTCTCTCTCTCTCTCTCCAATTATACATTGACTCTGAGCAATATACATAATACATATCAAAATATCGCTAACAACAATCCCATATAACACTACTGTACTTGCACTGCAGTAGTTAAGACAGGTTTTAACTAAGGCAAAGCTAACCATTGCCAAGTCCTGTGATGGAATGGAATTATGAAGGCCAGACTCAGGGAGAAAAACGT